CGCTAGAGAAGATATAAGGCCAGGCACGGTGGCTCATGCCTGTCATGCCAGCACTTTGGGAGGCTGAGGTGCATAGATCATCTGAGGTCAGGAGCACGAGACCAGCCTGGCCAATATGGTGAAACCCCGTCTCTACTAAAAATAAAAAAATAAAAATAAAATTACCTAGGCATGGTGGTGCACACCTGTAGTCCCAACTGCTCGGAAGGCTGAGGCAGGAGAATCACTTGAACCCAGGAGATGGAGGCGGCAGTAAGCCAAGATTGAACCACTGCACTTTAGCCTGGGAGACAGAGCAAAACTCTGTCTCAAGAAAACAAAAAAGTGACAGTTTAAGAACCCTTTAGGGAAACTCAAAGACAGCAGGGAGACCAAATCAAGCACATCAGATGAAAGTTTAGCTTTCAGCACCCACAGCTACAGCAAACACAGCTGAAGTTCCTTGCCAGAAAAACATAGAACCTCATACCAAATGCCTGTTTACAGCAGTCTCTTTTACCAAGGACATCATGTCCAGCTTTCAACAAAAAAATCACAAGGCGTATGAAAAGACAAATAAAGTGATGGATATGTGGTATTATTGAAGGCACTATGAAAAGCATCAGTTAATCTTACCAGACATTAGTCTTTCTTTGCTCTCTAAGCCTGCCCCACTTGATAGGAGCTAAAGGCTGCTTTTCTAGGACCAGTAACCAGGAAGGAGGGCAGGTGGAGCGCTTGAGGGGAGCCAGGAGGAAGTACTTTGCCCTAACGCCTCCACTCCTCTGACTGTAAAACAGTGTTGATAAATCACGTGGCTCCAGTGGCTTGTTCATTACACATTCATTACATACAGGTGATTTCTTAAGAATACTAGCGATGGGGGACTCCATGTTTGGATCCCCTTCCACGAACACTGTATTCCCTTCCACTCAGTGTGGAACCTGCTTTCCATTCCTGCATTCCATCTTTCTGGATTCTCTCACTCAGTGTGAGAGTTAGCTGTTTCTTTCTCTCTCCTTCTCCTGTTTCTCTCTTTCTCTTGAAATAAATCACTTTCTACAAAAAAAAAAAATTAATTAATTAAAAAATAAAAAAATAGAGATGGATAGATATAGAAATAGAGATATAGAGATGTAGGTATATAGGTATACATATACATTTAATTCAGGTTATGATTGGTTTAAAGATTTTCTGATATATAGAAACTATCCATAAGTCTGTTAAATTCCTGTATTATTTTTCCTTAAAAGAAAGGCAAAACATTATCTCTGTAGACGCATCACAGTAATAACCACTCAAAAATAATTGTTTAGGCCAGGTGTGGTGGCTTATGCCTGTAATCTCAGCACTTTGGGAGGTTGAGTTGGGGGTGGAGCACCTGAGGTTGGGAGTTCAAGACTAGCATGACCAACATGGAGAAAGTCTGTCTCTACTAAAAATACAAAATTAGCCCCGAGTGGTGGCGCATGCCTGTAATCCCAGCTACACAAGAGGCCGAGAGAGGAGAATCACTTGAACCTGGAAGGCAGAGGTTGTGGTAAGCCGAGATCACACCATTGTACTCCAGCCTGGGCAACAAGAGTGCAACTCCATCTCGGAAAAAAAAAAAACAAAAACGTGTGGTCTGTCAATTGGCAGCATCAGAATCAACTGGGAGCATGGCTGGCGACATAATGTGGCCTAGTGCAAAATAAAAATATGGGCCCCGTTCAAAAAGCAGGAAAAAAGTGCTTTCGTCTTCCACAGTCCCTCAAGTTGTCATGGTGTTTTCTATTTGCCATTTAATGTCATTTTTTTTTTTTTTTTTTTTGAGACTGGGTTTCCCTCTTGTTGCCCAGGCTGGAATGCAGTGGCACGATCTCAGTTCACTGCAACCTCTGCCTCCCGGATTCAAACAATTCTCCCACCTCAGCCTCCCAATTAGTTGGGATTACAGGGGTGCACCACCACACCTAGCATATTTTTGTATTTTTAGTAGAGACGGGGTTTCATCACATTGGCCAAGCTGGTCCCTAACTCCTGATCTCCGGCGATCTACCTGCCTCGGCCTCCCAAAGTGCTGGGATTACAGGTGTGAGTCACTGCACCCAGCCCATTTAATGTCATTCTAAGTAGAAAAAAAAAAAGAACATTTTTTAATGACTAACATAGGTTTACCATTCATCTTTTTTATCAAGCAATGCCAGTTTTAAATGCAAATATGTGAGCCTTTAATTCCAAAGGTGAAATCATCGAAATAACACAACTTGTATTTTGTAACTTGTACACACAGGTGTATTTTGTTCTTACCAGAACAGTGGGAACACTAAATATACTCAACTGTTTTTCTTTCACTTCTTAATAAGCACATATTCCACTCACAATACCTTCTGCTTCCTGAAGGATAGGGAAGGACTGAAAGGAAAAAGAACCTTACCTTCTCTTCTATGTCATCATTTTCAGCATCTGTGGTTGGGTAATATAGGGAATCACTTGAACCCAGGAGATGGAAATAAATAACTCAGGAGAGATATGATAGGGTTTCTTGGTCATTCATGTTTCTTAGAACATCACTGCCTTCTTTCTGTGTTCACAGCAAGTTCTGGTACCAATGGCAAGCATGGCCTTCCCAGGCTGTCGGCGCCCCCAAACTTTCCCAAATCACAGCCATAAGACACCACTTGGGACTTGCTGAACTCCCACCAAAGTTTTACTCATGGGGCATCTCAAGCACTATATGCAAATGGGGCGCAAAAGACAGTGGCCACGTATATTCACACTGCATTGCAGAGATCTCCTCTAGTCTCTGGCTGCCTGGATCGCCCCATCAGACTTACAAAACACAAGTTCAAATTTAAAATTCACTTACAATTTTAAGAAGATGAAAATAGTGTGTTAAACCAAGCCCAGAGCCTAGGTGACTGCATAGATTGCAGCTTAGGAGTTGGCTTTGCTTAGGAGCTTAATAAAAATGCAGGTTCTCAATGCTGCCCACCTTCCACCCCACCCCCACCCCCAGACCTGTTGAATCAGAATCTGCATCTTAAGATTCCTAAGTCGGCCATTTTGGGGCACTTTTGGAGGCTCTGGTCTGGTCTAGACCACTGAAAATTCTATCTCCCAGGCTAGACTCTGACTTTACCCCCTGGGAGGCAAATGACAACTTTCTCTGATCTACCCCACCCTCTCTCTTCCCACCTCTGGGCCCTATTTGCAGCTCCCCAGGATGTTAGCAACTGGATTGCTGGCTGTCTTTTCTAAAAACAGATTTATGAGGCTTTGTTCAAATCTCATGTTTCATCTGCCTCCCAACCATAAGTCCTTTGTATATTCTTGAATCCCCGTGGCAAGGAAGAAACAACAAAGAACTTCTAATAGGAGCCTTCCTTTAAAGACCCATTTTAAGGATAGGGGCCAGAGGCGGAGCCCCCCAAAAGATGAAAGTCTTGTTAATTTACATGTCACTGTGTAACTGGGATGTCTTTATTATCGACAATTCAAAAGTGAGCATCTTGTTTCCTCACTGTTTGCTATTTCATTCCATTTATTTCTCTAGTTTTGCTAGCTTTAAAATTACCCAGAGTGAATGAAGATGGAGTATACCCTTTTTTCTACTTCTGTTTGAGACTTTTTATGATGAAACGTTGAAAACATAATAACATGTCCCCCAAAATCTTTAAAAAAGATAAAAGGAGGAGAAAAGGGAGTTGAAAATTTAATTCACTTTGGCATTCAAGAGGTGTTTAAGAATAGGCCGGGCTCGGTGGGTCACGCCTGGCCTTCGGGAAGCAGATAGCTTGAGGCCAGGAGTTTGAGACCAGCAGACCAGCTTGGTCAACATAGTGAGACATTGTCTTTACAAAAAATAAAAAATTTAGCTGGGTGTAGTGGCACACACCTGCAGTCTCAGCTACTCAGGAGGCTGAGGTGGGAGGATCGCTTGAGCCTCGGAGGTTGAGGCTGCAGTGAGCCATGATGGTGTCACTCTGTCAAAGGTGTGTGAGCCAGAGTAACTCCATCTTGAACAGGAGCTGGGTAAAATGAGACTGAGACCTACCGGACTGCATTTCCAGACAGTTAAGGCATTCTCAGTCACAAGATGAGATACCAGGTCAGCACAAGATACAGGTCATTAAGACCTTGCTGATTAAACAGTTTGCAGTAAAGAAGCTGGCTAAATTCCAGCAAAACCAAGAGAGTCACTGGAGTGACCCCTGGTCATCCTCACTGCTACCCTCCCACCAGCGCCATGACAGTTTATGAATGCCATGGCAATGTCAGGAAGTTACTCTATATGGTCTAAAAAGGGGATGTATGAATAATCCACTCCTTGTTTAGCTTATCATCAAGAAATAACCACAGAAATGGGCTAACCAGCAGCCCTTGGGGCTGCCCTGTCTGTGGAGTAGCCATTTTTTATTCCTTTACTCTCCTAATAAACTTGCTTTCACTCTACTCTATGGACGCGCCTTGAATTCTTTCTTGTGTGAGATCCAAGAATCCTCTTTTGGGGCCTGGATCGGGACCCCTTTCCTGTAACAACTGTTGTAATTCTTTCTTTTGCTCTATGCTAAACTAATTCCTATTCTTCCTTTCTGATGTCTTCTGGGGAATTACCACTCCCTCTTCTATAAGTCATGAATCATGGAGCCCCCGCCCGTGTGGCAGAGTGAGACCCTCTCTCAGAAAAAAAAAAAAAAAAAGAAAGAAAAGAAAAGCAAAGAGAAGTTTTTAAGAAGAATAACTTGGGAAGCAAATTAGGTCAAAAAGCCAAACTAGTGTAAATAAAATGTACAGGAGGCCATCGGTTTGAACCGAGTCCCTGCACAAGGCCCAACAGACCAAACCGAAATAGTCACTCATGCTAATATTCTATACCACCAAGCCACAGCTAAGTTCTTACCTGAACTTCCAACAAATCAGGAGAGAGAGCGAGCTAACAGCCAAATCCTGGAACAGGCCACTCTCAATCAGCGTGATGATGAAATCCCCTCTGCCTTGATCTTACAACGAAGGTAACTTGGAAACAACGAATCCACCTGTTGTGTTTCTGCTTTGCTCAGCTTTTGTCTGCAAAACCACCCTCCTCTGCCCAGCTCATCACAGCACTCTTTTTACTTTATAGAATGGGGCAGATTCTGAATTGTCTGATTCTAGAATCACAAATAAAAGCCAATTAAGATCTTACTAAACTTGTTGTAATTTTGTTTTATGACATTAGGAACTTTTACCTTCTTGTATCTCAGCCTGAGTCCTGAACTAGAATCACCCCTCAGCCAATAGAGTCACCCCTCAGCATGTGAGCAAAGCTTTACTGCCCTTCTATGTTGCTGCAAGTCAACAGGGAACTTTCTTGCACAATAGTGGCTCCCCTCCTTCTGTGAGGGAGAGCATTTTAAAAAGCAAGAGAAACGAGAAAGGAAAAATACAAGGAAAAAGAAGCAAACAAAAGAGAACGTTTTCTTTCTTCTTTTTTTTTTTTTTGAGACGGAGTTTCGCTGTTGTTGCCCAGACTGGAGTGCAATGGCGCAATCTCGGCTCACCGCAACCTCCGCCTCCTGGGTTCAGGCAATTCTCCTGCCTCAGCCTCCCGAGTAGCTGGGATTACAGGCATGCACCACCATGCCCAGCTAATTTTTTGTAGTTTTAGTAGAGACGGGGTTTCACCTGGTTGACCAGGATGGTCTCGATCTCTTGACCTCGTGATCCACCCACCTCGGCCTCCCAAAGTGCTGGGATTACAAGCGTGAGCCACCGCGCCCGGCCGAGAACGTTTTCAAAAGATTTGTGCAGCCCTTTGGATGGGCATGGCCTCTTTTTCCTCTTCTCTGCTAACCCCACCAGAAAACATTCTCCCAGGTGGTCAAGACTGTCGGAAGCCAATGTTGACTGTGGCTGCTTATAATTTGTTAGTACCTTTCAGGTAAGCGATATCTCAATTTTAAGATCAAGCTTTTATGTTCCCTGATCAGCACTGGAAATGGTATACAGAGAAGACACTGAGGAACAGGGCGAGGGAGTAGCACAGAGGCCATGGGAGGCATGAACTGAACCCACAAGGAGAGTGGAGGCAGGACTTGGACCTCCGGAAGGTCTTGGGCTTTTCATCAGCTCGACTTCCCCTCATTTCTCCTCCACCCGCAACCAAGGCAGAAGCAACAAAGAAACAGCCTAGCAATGAGCTCCTTGGGGTTGAGGTTTTACTGCATAGCCGTGTGCTGTGAAGAATTTTGTTATAAATTGCCCTGTTTGCACAATGATGGCATTCTTTTTTGGATCGCCAACTCAGGACATTTGGTAGCATGAGTGACAGGGACATTTTAAATTCATGGGAAATACAAAACCCCCTTTGTGAGCATTGGTTTCAGCCACAGCCTCAGGTAACAAGAGTTGAGCTAAGTTTTCCTTCTTTTCCCTTCCTTATCCATGGATTCTCTGGCCAAGGTGCTATCGAGTAGCCCGGTGACCCACAGGCCAAGGGAGAGAGGAGGAGATGAAAAGCAAGTTAATTCACCAGATGGAGAGTGGGACTGTTTCAGCAGGAGGCAGCTGCATTTCCAAAGCCGGATCAAAAGTTCAAAAAGCTAAGTCTTGCTTAAAGAGCTGAACGCATAGAGATAGGCCTAGGTCTGAGCTGGAACAGGAGATGAGGAACTCCTGTGCTCACCTCCATCTCTCCAGGGCCTGGATCTGGCAGGACCTAAGCTGTAAAGCCCCCACTGTCTGTGGTCAGAAATATCGCAGTTAGTCTGACCTTGGCTCAAACTTTGTTTCTGCCCTTGGGCAAGTTACTTAACTTCTCTGATGCTCACTATCTTCATCTATAAAATGGGAACAATACTATCATCTATCTCATTGGCTTTCTGGGAAGAATCAGTGCAGAAATATATGCAATGGCCTGATAGCCCAGGGCACATAGAGTTTAATAAGAAGTAGCAGTCATGGGATAGTTGTTGTTTTAAAGAGGAAGCTGTTGCCAAGGAGTCCAGCCTGTATATTTCCGAAGCACACATGGAAGGGTTGTCCATGAGCTGACAAAGCCTAGATCGTCCCATTTCCCTCAGAGCCCAAAGATCTGTCAGGAAAGCCACAGCCCTGGGTCATGAGTGAGTGAATCCACACCATTGCCCTTCATGAGAAATATCTCTTCCTTCTTGCCTGTTTTCTCTCTCCTTCTCCTGCCCATCTCCATCTCTTTTTTTTCTCTCTTTCCTTCCCCAAAGGCCCCATCAGCTGTACTTTTTCCCTACAGAGCAACCTTAGGAAAGTCATCTCATGGTGCTGAGCCCCACTTGCCTCTCAAGGCAGTGAGGACAATGGAGCAGACGCTCTGTAAGTCCTTTTGGAAGCCGGCATACCACAATCATCCAATCCTCTCCTTTCCCATTCTCTTTCTGTGCCTCTTTCACACTCAAACTCCTGGGAGAAAATTCCACTTGGTTGAGCGTGGGCCACATGCCTGCCCCTGCAGGTATGGCAATGTTGGAAAAAGACTCTGGAGCAGGAATCCTCCAGAAACCTTGGGCTGAAGGAGAAGAGGAGGACCTGATTTTATAATCCTCCATGACTGCATGATTTGTAGAAGAGGGAGTGGTAATTCCCCAGATGAAATCAGAAAGGAAGAATAGGAATCAGGTTTAGGGTAGGGCAAAAGAAAGAACTGCAGCAGCCACTGTGCAGATAAAATTGGATGTATGCTTTCTCTCCTTTCCATTTATATATTTATTCATTTATCTATTTATGCATTCGCCTGTGAGCATCTAGGCCACTGGAGATGAAAGCCTTACCTGAACTTGAGAATGCTTAGAAATCGTCATCTTAAAATGTTCACTGAAATATTTGGTGGGAAGTTCAACAATAATGAATCCTTTCCGGAAGCAGAGTGGATCACAAGAACTAAATTGAATCTATCCTCTGGGTCAACCAAGTCTTTAAGGGAATGGTTACATAAGACCAGACCAGGTATACCGCACATTCAGAGGAACCCCCAGGATACGAGCCAGCCCTACAGTTCTCAGTCTGGAGTGGATTTCGCTCTCCCTAGGGATATTTAGCAAAGTCTGGAGCCATTTGTGGTTGTCAAAACTGGGAGGAAGGGGGACTGCTACTGACCAGGATGCTGCTAAACATTCTACAGTGCATAGGACAGCCCCCAACAACCAAGAATTACCCTGCCCAAAACATCAACAGTGCCAAGGTTCAGAAATCCTTAGCAGATGGACAAGGGACCTTTCATCCCATTCATTCTGATATATTTCGTTGAGTCTGAGAACCTTATTGTCATAAGTGCTGACTATGGGAACCACAATCTAGTTTCACCCAACCAGTCTTTAAATCCAGGTGCCGGTTCTTCCGCTAAGGAAGTCCCCTGGAGAATCCTTGCCCAAGATCCGTCTTCTTTCCCCTCTGAAGCAGAGAAGGGGCAGGCTTGTAACCAAGTTTATCCAATCCAAATTCTCCATGGGTCTTGCATGTTGGGCTAAATGTTTCAGTATGGAAGGTTTAGTTTTCTAGAAGCCAAGTCAAGACTGATACGAAATTCCTCTTCTGAGATCCCTTTGATCTGCCTCATCAACTGTAAATACAATTCTCTGGCTTCTCTTAGATCTTATGAGCTGCGCCGTATTCTTCCAATAAAGTTTCTTTTTCCTTCAGTTAGTCAGTCAACTTATTTTGCTTGCAACCAACATTCCTGATACAGAGAATCTTCAAATCCCTTTAGTAACTTTCAAACTTTATGCAACATCCCAAGTACGTCCCATCCTATTACTCCAAGAAATTTGGGATCCCAGAAACACCCTGGTTCGTACTCTACTTCTCTAGATTACCATTTGATTACCAGTTAATCAAATGACCAACAAGAATTTATTCACACTCACATATGTTGAACAATGTCAGCTCAAGGAAAAGTCAAAGTGGAGAAGAGGAACGAATATTTGCTGGGTGTCTACATGTGCCAGGCACAACGCGAAGGACTTTATATTTAGAACCTTCTCCCAACTTTATCACTATACTGGACGTTGGTGTTGCTATCCCACTTTACATTTGAGACAAATGGGGATTTTAGAGAGATACACTAATTTTCATAAGACTATATATCTAGTAGTTATTAGAGATGGGATTTGGATTCAAGTCTATTTGTCTCCAAGGCCCTTGTTTTTTCACCTCTATATAAGAGATGGCAAACTGTGGCCCTTTGGCCATATTTTGCCTGCCACCACTTTTTGTAAATTAAGTTTTATTCTAACAGTCATGCTCATTCTTTTGCTCTATAATGGCATAGTTGAGTATTATGCAATGAAAACAATAAGCATTGCAAAGCATAAAATATTGCCTGGTTCCATTTATAGAAAAAGTTTGGGCTGGCCACAGTGTCTCACGATTGAATTCCCAGCATTTTAGGAGGCCGAAGCGGGTGGGTCACCTGAGGTCAGGAGTTCGAGACCAGCTGCCAAGATGGTGAAACCCTGTCTCTACCAACAACACAAAAAAATTAGCCAGACATGGTATCGGGGGCCTGTAATCCTAGCTACTCAGAAAGCTGAGGCAGGAGAATTGCTCGGACCTGGGAGGTGGAAGTTGCAGTGAGCCAATATCATGCCATTGCACTCCAGCCTCGGTGACAGAGGGAGACTCTGTCTCAAACAAACAAACAAACAAAACAAAACAGAAAAAGAAAAAAGAAAAATTTGGTAATCCCTGCTATACATCCTACTCTGTTCCTCATATGTAGATTCCCCATTTCTGGTTCACTCTTCTTTTGGGCATGTCTTTGGATGAACTCAGGCATGTGATTCTGCATTCTTCTTTTATCAAACCTAGTCAGAAAAGCACTGTCTCATTCATACAAAAGTGTCAGTGACCGATAAAGCTTAATGTTTATCCCTCTCATGGATATTTGCATTTTAAGAACCAACTAAAACCTTAGGCCAAAAAGGCAAGTCTGGTGGGAATTTTTGGTGGGAATTCTGAAGCAATGGCTTTATTTCACAGATTTGCCATTGAATCACTTAGATTTTAGACGGGCCCCTTCCCTGGGTCTCCCAAAATCAGACAACATATGATTAAAGGACTGTGTAAAGACTGTAGTCCTTTAATCTGCTCTTTGCAGGCATGGCCCATTAAGAAAGACCTAGGTTAGGTCCTAATCTTAAGGTCACTGAGGTGAGTGCTACTTCTGCTCAGGACGAGGACACTGGCTACTGATTTCAGATGTCCTGTCTTCATATACTTTCTAACTCTCAATCTGTAAATATGACCAAAAAAAAAAATTAAAAGAGTCAATACACTATTTTACCAACTAGTAACAGCATAGCTATCTCTGTACAGCAATTGCTGAAGACGGTCAGTTGCAGTGATCTACAGCTGGGTTTGGTGTTGACTATCAAACTCTCCTCACTAGTGTAAGCTTTGTCAAGAGAAGCTGAGGCTCTTTTCTAGATGGAGCCAAGGGCCTCTTCTTTTCCTACTTG